CTGGAGAAGTAATCTTCGCTTCAGAATGTCCTCCTGTTATTTTACCTAGTTAACTTCATAGCACTATTATCCTTAAAGCAAGAAACTTAGCCATTATCTTGAGATTATTTTCTTTTTCTTACTTCTAGGGAGCCAATTCCTATTCTAAACATGAATTTTTGATTTAAGGTGGCTAGGGTAATGGAACCATTTGTTCTTCTCCATCCTCACTGCAATCTGCACAAGTCACTTTTGACCTGGACAATTTCAACACTCGCATCTCTAATCATCCTTCTGAACACACCTTCTGAACAAATCTGCTCTTATTCCCAGGCCCTACCTCTCATGAAGGCTGGCTATGCTAGTTACCACTGAGCCTCAGTTTCTCCAAAGAAATGGAGAATCCCCAGAGGTTAGGGCTTCTCTCATCTTTGGATTGATGGACAGATTGATTTTGAGACAAGGTCTCAGTATGTAGTTGAGGCTGGCACTGAACTCACTATGTACTCCAGGTTGGCTCAGAACTCCTGCCTCAGCCTCCTGGGATTATAGGTATGTGCTACCACACTTATCTCATTTTTAAAACTCATAAAAAATATAGGAAATGCTATTTAGCTTCTGCTCAGAATTCCTGAAGGTTTACTTTAAACACAATTTTTTTTCAAAGTCTAGGGCCGAAAAAGTCAGGTATCTGATACCTACTTTAATACCCATTTTGTACAGAAAAACTGACTTATACACAGTATAGTATAACTTACATAAAAGGGACATCTACGCTGTTTACTCATGCATGCTACTTGACACAAAGGAAATAGGATGTTCTGCTTTCTGAGAATAAGAGGAACACGTTTTCCTACACTTAGCACTGTCCTTGAAACAATTTAAACGCAAGTGAGGTCTCACAGATGCTTAAATGACATTAGCACATTTGGGTGTGGCTTAGGGGATGTAGCTCAGTGGTACAGCATCTACTTAGGGCCCATGAGGCCCAGAGATCAATCCCCAGCACACAATAAACAAAACAAAACAAAACAAACACAACACATTTGTATATGGGCACCTATGTGTCTCAGAATGGAGAGGTTTTCAGTTTTTATTCTGGGGCAGCACTGTGCCAAGAGCAAGTTCACAAAGATAGAAGTTTGTTGGTCTGCATTGCTCAGTACAGCAGCCACGGGCCACTCAAGGCTTCTGAACAATCAAAATATGTCTAGCACAATGAGGAATGGAGCTGTCAACTTTATTTTAATTAATTAATTATTTTGAATCAGGGATTGAACTCACAACCTTGTGCTTGCCAGGCAGGTGCTTGTGCTGCTGAGCTATGAGCTGTCAACTTTAAATAATTTTATGTAGCCATGTGACCAACATACAGTGTACATGCTGTTACTCTGAAATAAATACAACATCATCTCAACTCAAAAACAACTCAGAGTGTTTCCTGACACTTCTGTTAATTATGAAAATTTCCTAAAGTTAGCATTTGCTTATAAAAGCAGAGCTCTTTTTATTACTTACACTGCAGGGTCTTGGTGAAAGGGTATCTCCTGTGTTTGACTTCTACTTGAGAAATTAGCCAGGGAAGTTATTTGTAGTATATTCTAAACTCTGCCAGTACATAATGTCTTTGAAAGGGAATGTTCCAGTTGAGAAACAGAGCAACAGGTAATATCTGCAAAACTCTCAACTGAAAGGTAAAATCAAACCTAAGAAATCTTACTCTTGCAATGGCAAAATTAGGCAGAAAAATTTGTCAACTTAAGCCACCCCCCCACAAAAGGATCGTAGATGAAAGGTAAATGTCTTTTTTCCCCCTCCTTTCTGTTGTGTTTTTTCGGGTTTTGCCATGCAGTTCAGGCTGCCCTTGAACTCACTTTGTAGTTCAAGCTGGCCTGAAACTTACAGTGATTCTTCTGCTTTGGCCTCTTGAGTGTTGGGATTGTAGGCGTGTGCCACCATGCCCAGCAATAAATGTCTAATTTTAATCTTCATATTTAAAAATCAGTAATTTACTCATTCACAAAATTTCATTCCAGCTATTTACATACATCTTAAAGCTAGTGTCTGTGGATCAATTAAGCCACTATGAACCACCAAATTCCATTTTGCAGAATACCTCACCCCCTTATCTACTCAACTGGTTATCACCCACTTCGTGAATCCATACTCTGGGAGATTTCAGCAAAAGCCACTGCTACTGCAGGTGGGTATACTTTTTCATTCATTATTTACTGTGCTGCTTTTGGCCATCTGTAAAACCTATTTCCAGGTAGCTGGGGATTTAGCTCAGCGGCAAAAGCACCTGACTTGCAAGCAGGTGGTCATGAGTTCGATCCCCAGTACTGATTAAAAAAAAACAAAAACAAACAAAAAAACCTATTTCCAATGGCATCTGAGACTTATACTCTGTGAATGATCTTGACAATAATTACTGGATATTACCAGGTTTTGTGTAGTTGGTTTGATAAGATTGAATAGATATCCCAAACTAGGGTTAGTTGAGGTTATATTATCCCAGTATGTCCTTTTCCAGGGTGCCTGGCTGTTCAGACCAGTGCTGAGGGTCCTTACAGCCTGCCTTGGAATCCAGTATATACTACATATACTAGAATGCTATTTTCAGGAAGGAAGGCTGCCTTAAATGATATTGGGCTTCTTCATGCCTTCTGGGAGTGGTTGGTGCCCAGATTTGGATTAAAAAACAGTTCTTTGTTAAACCGCCATTTTCCTTTTGAAGTCACAGACATATGCAAAACTATTAGGACAAGTAGATTGGCCTTCCCTACTTTACACCTACTACCATGCTACTGTGATACACTCTTTCCAGAGTTAATCTGATGCCATCTGTGCTTAGTTTAAGAATTTTCACTGCCTCTACTAGGGTGGAGGATTTAAAAAATCTAATTTTGATAGTGTCATTTCAAGGTTACTCTGATGTTTACCTCTGTGGACTAACCCTTAGTTTTTAATGGGTGGTCCCATCTGGCCTTATCCCAAGGGGCTTTGGCCAACCCCTCTCTGCCTGCAGGAGGCATCTCATACTGGCATTCCAACCTGGTCTGAAAAAAATCCCACTGGAGCTTCACATCTCTACCTACTACTCCCACTCTGCCACAGCTTCCTTGATCTCTGTACCCACCCCCAACAACCCTTTATCACAGTACTCACTAAGCCATACTGCCACTAACAGGGGCATCTAATGCCCATTAAGTCAGTCACTCTTCACTGGTTCGCTCGATGATCTCTTTTAAACTCACAACTCTACAAGATAAACAGCATTCTTCAAAGGGAAAAATTCAGGTTCAAAGAAGCCAGACTACTTCATCATGTAGTTCTTCAATGAGAATTTGGCTATTGGACTGCTTCACCCGGGCACTTATGCTTTATAGTACCCAGCTTCACTACAAATCCTATGTTGAAACACGGCTTCATGAGGGAGCAAGGGAGCGAATGCTTACTAAATGCCTAGTGCAAATAAGCAGTACAATTACTACCTGAGATGCTGGCATTTCCAAGAGGCTAAAATTGTGGCTTCTAGTACTGTGCCCTGAAAAATTGAGAGTTAATTAACAACACATGATTCCTGGCCCCCTTCCAGATGGGAAGCTAAAATAAGTTGAAAAAAAAAATAAAACAAAAAACACAGTCTTTCCTAAAGAGGTCTGATTGGAAAAACAAAACCCAAAAGCCAAGTTACTAGGCAGTTGGATGAGACTTTTTCCTAGTTTCAGTGACAGAAGCACACGTAAACATTAGAGGTGGGAACATGACTGTACCCAAAACACACTAACCTACTTTTAAATCTTTAGTACATGTTTGCAGCACAGAATTACATTCACTGTGAGGAACTGATATTTGCACATAACACATTTCAATTCTCCCAACCTAATTTACTGTCGATGTCAAAGAAAAGCTCAAAGCAAGTCCACTTTTTGGTTTGATTATTTTTAAGGTAGGACAGGTTTGTAATTCATTTAAAAAAAGAAAAAAAAAAAAAAAGGAAGTTAAGGCACATTACATTGAACAGAAAAAACTTAGGCCTATACGGGACCTAGAATGTGTTTTGGCAAAAAAGATATCATAATAGCTACTTTCTCTCTTTTTCATGACAGGTTTTCACCAGGCAGCACAGGCTGGCCATGAACTCATGATCTCTAGCCTCCGCCTCCCGAGTGCGGGGATTACAGGTGTGCGCCACTATGTTTGGCTAACGGCTATTACACTGATACTCAAATTTCTTTTTCTGAGTACCTTCCAACAGGTCCGGCCTTAAGTTATCAAGCTGTTTTACAAAGAGTAAGCTAAGACTCAAGAAGGATACATAGGCCGACAGTTAGCTACAACCCTAGCCGAGATGTCACAAAGCTCTATCCACATTAAGCACTTCAGAGTTTAAAGAAGCAGGCAGAACCTTTATCGCGCCGACAGACACTCTTCCTATTCCCGCTCTCAAGTAGACAGGGCGGTGCAGAAGCTGTGTCCGGCCTCCGAACCCTCAGCCCAGCCCAGGACCCGCACACGTGTGTCACCTCGTCGGGGACCTGCGGCCCGCCTGGGCCTCCAGTTGGCAGCCAGCTGTCTCCAGTCTGCGCGGGACTTGGGCGGACTCACCTCTCGGCGCCTGAGCGCAGCGCCCGCGCGGGGCGCCGCTGCCCACTTCCTCCGCCGCCGCTGCCGCCGCGCGCGCACGCGCGCGCCCAACCCTCCGCCCCGCACGCTCCCACCCGGGCCGCGCCGCGCCTCCAACCCGGGCCGCGTCCCCGCAGGCGCCCGCCACGTGCGACGCCCCGCGGAGGCCCGGCCGCGCAGGTGCCCGCGTCGTAGCCGCCCGGGGCCCTCCCTGCGCCCGCGCTCACTGAACATCCCGGGAGGCTCCTGCTCCCGCCGCCGCTGCCACCGTCCGCTGCAGGGCCTCGCTCCGCAGCCGCTAGCCAGGCCTCCGCGCTCCTCGCCCCGCCGCACCCGCGGCTCTGGGCGGTCGCCCCATGACCGCCTGACGGAGGGGCGCGCCGGCTGGGCCGCAGACACCGACGCCGCGGCCAGGCGCACTCGGCGCTCGGCAGGCTATGCCTGCGCCTGCCCCGCCCCGTCCCGCCCCGTGCGTCGGCGTCGGCCGGAAGCGCCTGCTCCCGCATGCGGCACTGAGCGGAGGAGCGGCCAGGTGAGCTCGTTTGGCCGGTGGTCTCAGTCGCCTGAGGGTTCTCGGGCCAGATCCCATGCAGATTCCCGCAACCGGGGTGTCCCCTCCCCAGGTATTCTCCCTCCGACAGAGACCCCATGCAACACGAATTCCCACCCAAGCTGAGGCCCCACCTAGGATGAACCCCTACCTAGGATAAGGCTCACCCGGCTGAAATGGGCCTCCACGCCTACCGAGTCCTTGCCGCCTCACCTGGGTCGGAACGGGGGTTTTGCCTTTCGCTTCTTGTGCTTGCTTCAGCGCGACCGCGTTGTCAGCTCTGGGTCCGTCAGTGCGCCGAAAGTGGGAGTTAGGACCCGGGGTCGCGGGCGGCTTGAGAGACCCTTGTCCTGCGCTGGGCCGCTCGGGGGCCTGTCTGTGCCGCCGAACCTGCGCGCCGTGTAGGAATTCGCTGGGTGCGCGAGGGGCATCTCGAGAGCTTCGCGAGAGGGAGGGAGACCTTTCCTGGGATGCGCGCATTCTCTGGCAGCTGCGGGCTGAAAGTAAATTCTGAAAGCAGGTGATTTAGCCCTCAGGACTGCACATTCTTTTGGATTGACGGAATCGACAATCACGAGATATCTCTTTAGTTCTTGCGTTATTTCATTTAATTTTATTCTCTGTATTTTTGTATTGAATATAGTGAATGATTTTCTGTCTTGAACCGACGTCAATTTTTCTATAACGAAAGGAATATTTTTATTTAGACTTATTTTTAAAAACTGAGAGTTTTTGTTCGTTTTAGTTTATGGGAACTGTAGGTTGTTGCTGTGTCCTGGTTGCCGTTATTAAGGATTTTATTTATTTAAGATGTGTATTGGGCTGGCTGTGAGCTCACATGATTCTCCTGCTTCAGCCTCCCAAGTATTGGGATTACAGGCGTGTACGACCACCCCTGGCAACAGCCTTTTAAATTACATACTGGTGGTGCATGCCTGTAATCCCAGCGCTGGGAGGCTGAGGCAGGAGGATCTTTGTGAGTTCGAGACCAGCCTGGGCTACAAAGTGAGCCCAATGCCAACCTGAACTGCATAGTGAGACCCTGTCTCAAAAAGACCAAAAAAAAATTTTTTTTTAAATAGTCTTTTAGGCAGCAGTATGTGTAGTAAATTTGTATTTGAATGAATAAGATAAAACTACTGTGGGACTTTACCGTTGCAGCAGAAATAACAATATTTCTATTGGGGTTCAGTTAAACATTACTTTCTCCACATATTGAACTACATTTTTTTTTTTTTTTTTTTAAGGCTAGTCAAGTGAAGCAGTGGGAGTGGAGAAGGAACAAAGAAATCTGTAACTGGTTGTGATCAATTAGTTGTAAACACCACTGCACTCGGACCAGCCCATTTTTCATTTCTTTAAAATTGTTTCATAGAGCTAGGCTAATACCTGATACATAATTTTTTTTTTTTTTTTTTTTTTTTTTGTACTGGGGATGGAATTTAACTTCACACTTGTCAGGCAGGCATTTGTGCCACTGAGCTAAATCCTGGATCCCATAATATTTTTTTGAGACAGGGTTTTGGTGTATAGTTCAAGCTGGCTTTGAACTCATTGTGTAGCCCAGATTGATCTCAAATTCACAGCAGTTTTCCTATCAGCCTTCCCCAGTGCTGGGATTAGAGGTGTGCATCACCCATGCCCAGCTCATAATGTGCTTTATAAGATATGTGCAGAAATGTCACTCTTAATCTTAAAACATGTGGCATCTGTCTTTCAATGAGTCATCTGCTTGTATTTATTTTTATGTGTTGGCATGGGAAATTAAACTCAGTGCTGAAACACATTGCTAGTTTTTTTTTTTTTTTTCCTAACTCCAGACAAGGGCTTGCTAAATTGCCTAGGCTGGGCTCAGACTTGGTGGTCCTCCTACTTTAGCTTCTGAGAATGCTGGAATTGTTCCTTTGGGTCTAGGTCTGCATGTTAATTTTGCTTTTTTGAACTCTTGAATACAACTCTGTAGATACGATGTATAATCACAGCTGAAATACTTGCAGTGGATCTTCTGTCTGCTTTTGTCTGAATTTATTTTTTTAATCTTCTTTTTCAAGACAGGATCTTGCTATGTAACTGGTAGCTGGCCCTGAACTCATGGCAATCTTCCTGCCTCAGACTCCTGAGTGCTGGGATTACAGGCATATACCACCACACCTGGATTTTGTCTGAATTTACCCCAGAAAATTCATGAGCTGGGATCTCATTACAGACCTGTAGTGAACAACTTTGTTGACATATTTTAACTTAAAAAAATTATAAGCAATAAGACACTTCATTTTTTGCTATTTGTTCAGTTTAACCTTATATTGTTTTCTCTTGTTTTTAATCGTAGATAAAGTGTAGCAATGGCTGCTATTTATTCTGGCATTTCCCTTAAGCTTAAAAGCAAGACAACTTCCTGGGAAGATAAACTAAAACTAGCTCACTTTGCTTGGATTTCCCACCAGTGCTTTCTTCCAAATAAAGAACAAGTAAGTTTAATGTGAAAGTTACATTTTTATAATTTAAAATAATCAGTATTCAAATTGCATATTGACATTTACTTGAGGATTTGAAAAGGGCTCAGGAGGAGCATCATTGGATGTTAAAAAGTAACAGTGAAAAAGTAGTGAACCAGATCTTTTAGTTTGATAGGTTAGGTTTAAAGATTGGGAAGTAGAGACATGTATTTGCGTTAAGTCCTGCTGATATAGGTAGGTACCAAGAAGGATATAACTCTTGAGTATTTTTCAGGGTAATTTGGCTTTAAAAAAATAATGCAATAAACATGAGGTTTATGCATGAAATTAGATGGACATACTTTCTAATACTGGGACAGGACAAATACATCAAAAATGCCTGGGTGTGGTGGCGCACTCCTATAATCTGAACACTGATGGCTGAGGCAGAAGGATTGCCATGAATTCAAGGCCTGTCTACACTACATAGCAAGACCCTGTCTCAAAAAAAAAAAAGTCACAAATGCTTTATACTCATTAAAGTAATGGTGAGATATAGTATGTAGAGCAGTTATTGTAATATTGATGCTCATACTTGGCTGCACATGTAAGTCATCCTGGCAACTTGATAATCCCTTATCTATCACTGTATAGTGTAAGACAGAGTGGTCTGGTAGGCAGTTTGGCCAAGATGTATGCTGTCTTTATTCTGAGAGTTCTTTCCTTCTAACAAATGGCACTCTTCATATTGTTATAACAGTTCTGGTTTGAGAGCTGAGGTCTCTCTGTTTTCCTCCATGTTTTGTGCATGAGGAAGCAGGTCACAGTAATGGAAATCTCATACACATAGCCTCCTGCTCACAAAACACTCACGTGTTGGTTCATAGGCCTCTGTCTCCTGGGGAGATATAACTCAACATGGGGTCATCCATACACAGCTCTCACAGACTTTTGCTTTGTTTATGTGATTGATTCTGTGGTCATTCTGAATAGCTGAGTTTTGTTTTGCTTTTTGAGATGGTTTTACTATGCTGTTCAGGCTGGCCTTGAATTTACTTTGTAGCTCAGGCTGTCCTCAAATTCATAGCAATCCTTCTGCCTCATCTCCTGAGTGCTGGGATTATAGGTGTGTGCTGCCACACCCAACCAGCAATTTTTTGAGAAAGGGTCTAGCAGTGTAATTCAGGCTGGCCTGTGAACTCAGTGTCTCCCAGACTGGCAGTCTCCTTGCTTCTGCCTCTGTAGTGCTGAGATTGCAGATGTGTATCGCTATGTGCAACTGGGCAGCTGCATTTGTAACTCTTAAACTCATCGTAAAAAAGAAAACCTAAAATAACAGAAAAAAACTCAGTATAGCTTAAGAAAAAGAACATTATTAAGATTTTACATGAAACTTCATTGGCACATACGAAAATAAAATTAAGTTTTATATCCCCCTTTGTCTTTCTTTTTCTTCCTTTTTTTGTTTGGTTTTGTTTTTGTTTTTGAGACAGGATCTTGTTATGTAGCCTAAGTTGGCTTTGAACTCTAAGCAATCCTCCTGCTTCAGTGTGCCACTACACATGGCCCCCCTCTTATTCTTTAATGACAAACTTTAAAAAATACTACATTTGGGGCTGGGGATTAGCTCAGCGGCATAAGTGCCTGTCTTGCAAGCGGCGCAGTCGTGAGTTCGATCCCTGGTACCAATTAAAAAACAACAACAAATACTACATTTATCAAATATAGTACTACTACAGGTGAGTTTTAAAGGAGTTTTTTCTTTCATTATAGTTGAATTTGGTCATGACTGGGTTTCCCTATAGTGTCCAGTGTCTTTCTCAATTGTAAAAAATTTATTTTCAGAGTGTATTTCCTCCAACTTCAGGTTTTACTTGATTGGGCAAGACAGTCATTGGTTGCGTTTTATAAGAAAAAACTTGAACTGAAGGAAGAAGTTGTTGAAAGGCTTTGGATCTATGTAGACAACATTCTACATAGCAGAAAATTGCAGAATCTCCTCAAGAATGGAAAGACAATTAACCTTCAGATTTCTCTTGTCAAGGTAATTGACAGTCTCTTTTGTTATTCTCTGTGTTACATGGGTCTCTGTCAGTTTCCTGTTGCTCTTGGGGCCTTTTTTGCGGGTGGGGGGGTGAGGGGGTGGTGGGTGGTTGAAAGTTTTGGAACTTTGTGGGGGCGGGGTTTGGGGTCAGTTGTACAGAGATGCAGGAAGTACCAGGATGGGGAGGAGAAGGAAGTAGTAACGTTACCAGAATTATCATAAATAATATTTACTTAAAGAACAAGATGTGACAAAAACAATAAATGTATAAATTTTAAAGTTTATTACATTATAAGACACATTGCCATTAATATCTCACAGAGTATTCCCCTTCATTTTGAACATTTATCCTGTCATTCTTGCTACTTTCTGAAGCATTTGTGCAGGTTCACTTTCATAAGTGTCTTACTAGTTATGCTGCTGCAGCTGCCTTGTCCTGAATCAATTTAAAATACTTACCTTTTGATATAGGTACAATATTATGTACATGTACTAACTCCACAATGAATATGCTCCTTTTGTATATCAAGCATGAACTAATTAAAAAGAAATCTAAAAAATAAAGGCTGGCCTCAATTTGTGATGATCTCCTGCTTCAGCCTTGTTGGGACTACAAGCTTGTATCGCCACACCTGGCACAGTTAATATTATTTAATATTAGAAGTTTAAACAGTTTCATGAACAAGTTATGATTATCCTTTTTTTGTTGTTTTTTGGTATTGGACATACTTAGGTAAGCGTTCTACAGCTGAGCTATACTCTCAGACCTTTTTATTTTTATTAATTTAATTTAATTTAAATTTTTTGTACAGGGATTGAACTCCCTGTACAAAGCATGACCTCATGCTTGCCAGGCAGGCACTTATGCCTCTGAGCTAAATCCCCAGCCTTTATTTTATTTTGAGATGGGATCTTAAGTTGCCCAGGTTGGCTTCAAACTTCTGATCTTTTGTCTCAGTCTCTAGAGTAGCTGGGAACACGGGCATTTGCCACCTTTTGATTACCTTAACTGGAAAAAGTAGCTAACAATTTATGTGATGTTTTCTTTTTTTTTTTTTTGGTTCAGGCTTTCTTTTGGTCTAGAGGGGGATCAAAAGGAGACCTGATAGAAATTTCATCAAAAGGTTTTAACTGAAAGTGATTTTGAAATCTCTTTGAAAATGAACTTCATTTTCAAAGCAATATTTTAAAATACCATGAGAATAACTAATTGCAGCAAAAGCTACTACTAACAAGTATATAGTATGAGACAGGCCAAATAGATTAGGTAACTTGCCTGCTGTCAAATGAATAGTGAGTGATAGAGTTGGATTTGAACTGAGATGTGCCCTAGTCTAAAACCTGGCTGTCATACCACAGAGCTGCCTTAATGGGTATATGGGCAGAGGAGAGAGGTGATTTGCAGATGGTTCAAAGAGCTCTGAATAATCCTTCAAGGTGTGGAGGAAGATACATTTCTGTGTTTAAGTGATCATTCCTTCGAAATTTTTGTATGTTTATAATTATATAGAACTGTTGTGTACATAAATAACTTGTAAATTATACTTGCAGTGTAAATATGAAAGGACTTTTTGCTATAATTTTGTCTCTCTCTCTCTTTTTTTTTTTTTTTTTGAGATAGGGTCTCACTATGTAATTCAGGCCGGCCCTGAACTCACCATGTAGCCCAGGCTGGCCTTGAATTCACAGCAGTCCTCCTGCCACAGCCTCCCAAGTGCTGACATTACAGGTGTGTGCCACCATGCTTGGCAGAAAAGATTTTTATTGATGCAATATAGTGAAAAATCTGGAGGCCACTGGTGGAACATTGACATCCAAGGAGTTGATATGTTTGCTGCGGTTTCCAGTGTGGCTTTGGAGGTCCTAGCCAGCACTTAATGCAGTGGAAATAACAGTGTCTGTCTCACTGGGCTACTGATTGCTTAGCATCCTAGGATAATTTCTGTTCTCAGAAGCCATAGGGCTGGGAGCAGGTCACTCAGTATACCAATGAGTTTGAGGAATCTGCCTGGCTCTCATTTCTAGTGTTTATAAATTTTGGAACTTTGAGAGTAGAAGACAGCAGGTCTACTATGTAATAAGTAACTGGCAACATTTGCTTTCCATTTTGTAGAGTGCTTTTTTAAAATAGGACTATAATTTAAAATAAGTACTATAATGTTTGACTATAAAAATGTGTATTCAACCTCAGAGTCATGACCCAAGTGCTTCTGCCTGTCTGTCTTGTAATACCTGAGCTTAGTTACAGATTTATGCCTTATAAATGCTTGCTTTTGTGTGTGTGTGTGTTTTTTTTGGTTGTTTGTTTTTTGTTTTTTGAGCCAGGGTCTCCCTATGTAATTCAGGCTGGACTTGAATTCACTGTGTAACCCAGGCTGGTTTTGAACTAACAATAATTCTTCTGCCTCAACCTCTCAAGTGCTGGTAAAACTTGGCTTTTTAAAAATAAATACCAAATTTATAGAGGCATTAATTCTTTTTAGAAATTGATGCTAACAAGAGCCAGATAATGTGAAAGAATTAAAAACAAGCACTAACCTTTTAATATACTACGCATCATGTAGATATGATAATCTGCGTTTCTCATGATGCAGGAGAAGAGCAAGTTGATTGATACTGTAGTGGTTTGTTGTGTATGTGCAGGTTTGGTGTAATAATGAGTTTTCTTTTTTTCTTAACACTTAGATGATAAATGAAAGAGTATCTGAATTCTCCTTCTCTGGATCCCAAAGAAACATGTGTGCTGTCCTGAACTGCTGCCAGGGCATCCTCTCAACACCTGCCCTTGTTGTCATCTATACCGCCAAACAGGAACTGTTGGTGGCCTTGCTCAGTCACCTTTGCTGGTCAGCCTGCAGGCAGCCAGAAAGTACAGTGACAGCTCAGCTATTTGAGGTCATTCACCTGGCCCTTGGCCATTATCTTTCTATCCAGCAACAACAAGCCAACCCCCGACGTGTCTTTGTGGATGTAACTGGGCACCTGCTACAGCCTTGCCTAGTCCTGAGGTACCTGCTGTCTGGGAGCACTTGGACACAGGACCAGCTGCGGCAGGTGCTAAGCCGGGATATCAGGAGTCAGATTGAGGCCATGCTTCGAGGTGGAGTTTTTCGGCCAGATTTGCTCTCATCCTACAAAGAAGAGCTCTTGGACCAGCAGCAAAGTGACTCAAAGATGGGAACCATGAAGAGTCTTCTTGCTCCTCTGGACACTGTGATTACCAGGCTGGTAGATGCTGATTTCTGTGAGCCACGCCTTCATGCCTCTGTGGTGGCCAGCTCTGTGGCCCTGCTGTATAGGCTCTTTCTGGATTCTTACCTCAAAGAGGGAAACCAGTTTCTCTGCTTTCAGGCTCTCCCCAGGCTGTTTGGCTGTTTGCAAATTTTACACCTGCAGGAAGAGCAGCTGAAAGCCTTGTCCACATCAGATTGGACCACAGAGCTCCTGGTTGTAGAACAGCTGCTAAACTTTGTGGCCAGCAACAATATCTACAACGTGGCTGCTGACAGGATCCGGCATGAGGAGGCACAGTTCTGTTTCTACCGGCGATTGGCTGAGCTGCTGATAAACCACCCACATGCATCTGTGCCAGCGTGGTTCCGCTGTCTAAAGATTTTAATGTCTCTGAATCATTTGATTCTGGAGCCAGACCTGGATGACCTATTGTCTTCAGCTTGGATTGATGCAGAAGTAACGGAGTTTCGAGCCAAGAAAGCCCAAGAGATGCTAATTGACATCCTCTTTCAGACATATGCCAAACTCCGACAGGTGCCACGGTTGTTTGAGGAAGTTTTAGGGGTGATCTGCCGTCCAGCTGCTGAGACACTGAGGCAGCCTGTACTGACTTCAGGCCCCTCCACAGTGCTCAGTGCCTGCCTCCTGGAGCTGCCACCCAGTCAGATCCTGGACACATGGTCCCTTGTGCTAGAGAAGTTCCAGGCTATAGTCCTACCCTGCTTGGAGAGTGATACTGATATGGCGCTGAAGTCTCGCTCCCTGAGTTCATTGCTGCACTGCATCATGTTCAACATGCGGAGTCTAGATAGCAATACACCCCTGCCCATCATCAGGCGGACACAGTGTGTAATGGAGAGGATGCTAGGAGATCTAGTGAAGCCCTTGCTGGCCCTTCTCCCTGGCTCCCCAGGTCCAGAGCCTGAGTTGTGGGTGCAGAAGGTGAGTGACTCTGCACTTCTACTCTCTTACACCTGGATGGAAGTGGATACCATGCTTAGATTGAACTGTGGCCAGTATCGCTCTGTGGCTGAGGACCTGACCAAGGATGCTCCAACAAGCTCAAACCTCCCTTCTTTGCTCCCAGGTTTGGAAGCACAGCGTTGGAAGAAGATTGAGAAGTTTATAGCTCAGTCCAACTCTCTCAGTCAGTATTGTTTAAAACAGCTCTATCTGCAGAAAATGAAAAGGACTTTACTGCAGGCTAGTTCCCTGTCTGAAGAAGTCCTCCATACTTTGCAGTATGATGCCTCCTACATCCTTGGTTCTGCCACAGACAACTTGAGTCAAAAGACAGCGGCTTCTTGGGACGGGCAAGTAGGGACAGTGTGTGCATCCACATACCCTGTAGCACACTGGCACTTGATTGTGTCCAACCTCCCAATTTTAATACCCTACCTATGTCTGGATGATGTAAGGTGTGTCGCCAGCATCCTATTAAGTATTTTATCAACAAGCAAAGCCCAGGACGGCTCAACAGATGAAGAGCTGTGTATCACACTTGTGAAGATTTCCACTGCCCTCATTCATAGCCCTCTCTTTCCAGAGACGCAGTCCCTCCATTCCGCCTTCCTGATGTGCTTAGTTGCAAGATGTTGTAACATTCTCTGCTCTGGTGACCAGGGTCTTCTCAGTCAACAACTACCTTGGCTCTTTGAAAAGGACCACACAATTATGTCTTATTGGGAAACTAGATTTGCAAAAGTTGGAACTGAAGGTATAGAACCAAGAAGAGAAATTGCCCAGAGCTTACTCTCCCTGGTCAAGGGTGACTTCCTCATCCATTTAGAGGAAGAGCAGCTAGAAAGCCTCCTGAGGCTTTTGCAAATCATTTCTACTTTACACTTGGATAGCCTCTTACCACCCTACCATGTGCATTATTTTCTCTTGTTGTTGTCCATGGCTGTTACCACAGTAGGCTGCTCCTGCCCCTCCTTGGACCTCCAGTTCTTGGTGAAATGCTACCAGCTTCTCGGCTGTTTACAGAGGGGTGGGAGTGCCCGGTCTGTGTTCAGGGTCTTCTATGTTAGTGATGTATTTGAGATTGTGCTAACATCATTGCTGCAAGCCAGTAGTAGACTCCTTATTGAGGTAGATGATCCCATGTGGCTGCATCTCCTTCAAGTGGTAGGGATGTTCCTGGAGCAACTGATGCAGCTGCTCATTCAGCTAAAGCTGAGTTTGGTGCTCAATTTTGGGAAAATCACTGCCTTCCTCTCAAGGTGTAAATTGTATACTGAGGCATCTTCCACTAAGCAGTTGGAAAACCAGATTCCTCTGGGAAGCCAGCTGATTTTGGTGTCCCTAACCAAACTGTGCCAGGTCTTTGGATCTTTTCTCAGAGAGCGGAGGCAGCCCCAGGAGGCACCAGCAGCGCTGCCTGAGCTGTTGCGACCGGCCTTGCTACAAATGGGCACTGCACTGCAGCTGTGTTTCACATCAGGGGCTGGAGTCCATTGCTTGCCCTCAATTGCCCTAGTGGCTGCCACCACACTCTTGGAAGTAGACCTGAATCAGCACCGCAGGGACAGAGTGGTTGAGCCGGACAGAACACTGCCCTCCCATGTGGCCCTCTACCAGGATGTCTACATGCAACTGCTGTCAGAGTTGCCAGCCCTCACAGGGAATGCTCAGTCTTTCCAAGCAGCCTTGCGGTTCCTAACTCTGTTCTTCTCTGCTCCAGAGTTCCATCCCAAGAAGGACTCTGTATTTACCTCCATATTTAACTCTGTGAGAAGAGTTCTTGCAGGTAAGATGTTTCTGCCTAAGCTAATTCTGGGCTGCAGGGCTTAGGTCTGTAGAGCTCTAATGCTGGCACAACAAAGTACTGCGCTTTGCTTTCTGGATAGGAAATGACACTTAGTGTGTAACACCTGGTGGCACACAGGGACATTGGGAAGATCACCCTCCAGTCTTGGTGCTGGGACTTCATATTCTCCTGTCTGTATCCTGGGCACATGTGACCAGTCATTCTTGCAGTTCTCGCTACCCTTGCTGCAGTCTCTGGGTGGATTTCAGGGCTCCTCAGGGCTTGCTTGCTCTGAAGAATGTCCTGTTTCAAACAAAACCTGCTCATTTTTGTTTCTGGCTTTAGCTCGCTCCTGCCTTGGACAGTCTGACACACTCTTCTGGGTCAGGTCGGCAGTGCTGCAGGTTGCTATACAGTCATGCAAATGACAACTATCAAAACTGTTCAGCAATATCTAAAAAATACTAGTGTTAGGCAAAATTCACACTGAATTCTGTGTGTGTGTGTGTGGTACTAGAGATTGAACATGACCTTCACACTGAACTATACCCCTTTTTTATGTTTTGAGATGTCTTGCTCAGTCACTAACTTGCCCAAGTTGGGTTTGACCATGGAACCTCCGGCTTTAGCCTCCTAGAATGCTGAGATTATAGGTGTATGACACCATATTCTCCTTATAAAATGTTAAATATGCCATGACTATAAGTTAATAAAATATACACGCATGTGTACAAGGGTTAGAAACACATTCAGAAATTAAAATGATTGTATTAAAATGATGTAATCATTGCTATATTCTTAGATATCTATAGATATAGATATATAGTTTTTTTTTTTTTTTTTTTTTTTTGAGACAAGATCTCTCTGTAATTCAGGCTGGCCTTGAACTGTGTAGCTCAGGCTAGCCTTGATCTTGTTGGCAGTTCTCTGGCCCCAGCCTCCCAAGTGCTGGGATTGTGGGTATGCACCACCATGCCCTGCTATTTTATACTATTTTAATATCGTAATATTCTTTTCTTTTCTTCTTTTTTTTTTTTGCAGTACTGGGGATTGAACTCACAACCTGTGTTTGCTAGGCAGGCGCTTATGCCACTGAGCTAAATCTCCAGCCTTGTAATACTCTTTTCTGTGACTTAATTAAATTTAAGTTAAGCCCAGGCTACATCAATAATTTTTTTTTCTTTTTTAACTATTTTTTTTTTATTTAAGGAGAGAAAAAAAAAAAAAAACAGAAAAAGGGTACAAGTTATACAGAATTTCAGAAAAAATAAACAATAGGAAATCACTAGTTAATAGATTACATATTGTTATCTTAGAAATAGTTGTTCAAGTTACAAAATTAAAGCATGTAAAGTGGACTTTCAAACAGTGAGACTGCAAACAGTTTTGTTCAATGATCCAACAACACTCAGTAATGTGGTTATCTATCTTATACACTTAAATATATATGCAGTTATATTCTTTAGAGTACTTTCTTTTCTTTTTGTACAATGACAATTACACATTTTGGGTTTTATTACTCCCACAGTTCTTATTACTTTTTTTTTGAAGGGAGTAAAACCAAATGTGACATAACAGAAAGAATAGTCAAATCAAAAGGATGGACATAATAGATAATGTAAAAACAAAATACTAGGTGATCAACAATGGTTACCATACTGCCTCTTGCTATCTTATAACGAATTGCCTATATCATCAGTTATAATAAAATTGAACAAAACAGTAAAGAATAAAACCAAAACATTGGAGACATTACAGGACTTTAAAAGAAGATAATAGTCAACCGGAATGGGCATCATAATGAAGCTTATTGTCTTTACAGTTGTTACCTATACTTTCGAACTTGGTACTATCAAGCAAAGCAGAATAGAGGAAAATCAGTCAAAGCAAGATGAGGGCTATACAGGGTTTCAAATCAAGTTAATAGGAAATCAAAGTGGGTTACTATAATGTATCCTATTTTTTTTATTTTCCCTTAATTAAAAAGATAAAAATAAAAAATAAATAATTAAAAAAAGATTGAGATAAAAGAGGGCATAACAACAAAACAGCGCAGGCCAAAGCATAATAGGCCAAAGCGTAAAGCACCATTTAAGCAAAATAGTGTTTTACCACAAGATATCCTGACACAAAAGTAGTTACCATAGTGTCTCTTGCCTTGAAATCTTTGAGTATAACTTCGTATATTGTAGATCAATATTTTTGAATGCCTATTCAGAGCCTTACTCTTTAAAACATGACTATGTTTAATAATATAGTAAAGAGGGGGTTGGGGATATAGCTCAGTGGTACAAGTGGCTGCTTGGCAAGCATAAAGTTGTGAGTGTGATCCTTGGTACCAAAAACCACACCCCAATACAAAAAAAAAATTGTGCACATATGTGTGTTTTAAAAGATCATTAAGATCTGCTACCCTAATTAGTATGTGTACACTTTTACTAGCCTGCAAAGGAAGCAGGGCTAAATAGAACTGATGTTTTCTCTTTTTTAAGACAGCATGCACCATGGTTGACATAGGATATTATGTTTAATTTTAGGAGTTGGGGTAAGTGTCAGGACAGACCCTGGGGAAGTGAGGCTGGAGAGTCATCCAGCCAAGCCTGACCCTCAGGATCTGCCAAGTGCTGCTTTCCACAGAGCAGTCCTGAGTGTTAGTGGCCCTCAAGAAAGTAAGGCCACCTGGTCTGCTTCGGCCAGTGCCAGACCTGAGTGTGTAGCCTAAACAAGGCTGTGTTGTCTCCCTGTCAGCAGCCTTCCTGTGTCGCTGTATTGTGGGTGAACTGGAAAGACTTGAGCATGACGTTCTAGCTTATTCTGTCAGTGATTCTTTTAGGCGGTAATGTTTCCTTTTCTACTGAGAGCTGAAACCAAGTCTCTTATTCAGACTAGTGCAGTGTTTGAAGTGACCATCCTCTGCAACAATAGCTGGCGGTTTGAAGCTCTGGCTGCTATGCCCCTTTATTAAAGAGTTCTGTGTCCCCCTCCCTCCCAGCCCTGGTGAGCGAAGGCAGTCCTTGAGCCCCAACTCCGATGCCAGGGAGACAGCCTCCACCACAGTGAGACCAGTGTGTTGCTTTATCCCTTGGTCCAGCCCTCTTGTTGTCTGAATTGGAGTCCTGTTGGTTTCTTTCTATAGGTCCTTGGTGTCCTGAGCAAGACATACAGAAAAAGGCATCAAAGAGGTACATTTATTAAAGGTGGAAAAGAGGTACACTATAGGAGAGTGGACTAGTGAGAAGGCTCACAGGGTTCCCAAGAATAAGGGGGAAGGGATCTTTTGTATCCAAAATACCTGAATTGAAGTCTTCCTTCAAGTAAGGCATTAGGGCATTTGTCCTATCAAAAATTCAACTAACCTTAACCAGGTGTGTTGTGATCCCATATTTAGGAGGCTGAGGCAGAAGAATCACTAGGAGTTTGAAGCCAGTCTGGGCTATGAAGCAAGATCCTATCTCAAAAAACAACAAAACAAAACTCAGTTGGCCTCATGCCAGATATAACTGTCTTATCCAAAAATTTGTTTGACTTCTTGCCATATGTAAATGAAGATCAGAAATAGCATCTTTTGGTTAGTTGTGCACAATGCAAATGAATTGAAAATAGCACTCTTCTGACTGGTCCAAATGTACAAGAGCTGTAAGCCTGATTTCATTTTGGGTCCTGTATTCTCTACATGTCTTCTTTTTATGAAACATCTTAGTCAGGTGTGGTGACATATGCTTGTAATCCCAGTGTTCAGGATGCTGAGGATCACAGCGAGTTCAAGGCCAGCCTGGGCTACACAGCAAGACTGTTAAAAAAAAAAAAAAAAAAGGAAATATCTTGCTAAACCTGTTAGTTGTGAGTTTTTATGATCTTTGACATATTCTGCCCAGTTGCTTGTCTGGTTTGCCCCAGCACAATCTACCTCACTTTCACATCTAGGCCACCAGACTCCATACTGGGACATGCTGGAGAAGTGGGCAATTGGGAATACATGCCCACTGAGGAGTAGCCCAAGGTACTGGGGAGAGAGAGAACATATAAAGGTAGTCTGGGAGAACTGAGTGATGGCTATACAGGTGACCTATGCAGGTTGCTTTGTCCTTGGATGGTGCAAAAGTGGGTTTTGGCTTGTTTCTGTGAAGAATGCTTTCTGTCAGTGAAACAGACATCTCTGTTGATCCGATGTCTGTAACACTGCCCATTTGTGTGTAGCGCTGTGTCTTACTTGGAAGACTGAGCTGCTAGTTTGGCCTACTTAAGTAACAGACATCCACACAGGTTGCAAGGAGGCTGCCAGAAAGCAGCCAAGATGTGGGACTGGGTTGAGAGGTGTGTACAGGCCAAGTATGTTTAGCTATGACGGTGGTACTGGAGAGCTGTCCATGGGAAGCCTTTCCCTCTAAACTGACTTTTCTTGTTTGCTAATCTCAGGAGTTGGTGCTGCTAAGCCCATTTCATTGATGAAGGAGTTGAGGTGAAAAGAGTCCATATGTCTAGGGTCTTACCACTTGTGGGAGACTCAGTCCTACATCTTCATCTCTCAGATTCTGGCCCCTGCTTCCAGCATCTTGCTCAGTAGTGAGCACTCACAGGAAGTGGAAGATCTCTGGGTAGAATGAACCGCCGTGGAAGTTAGACTAGGTTCAGTGTTAGGCAGGCCTTGGATGCCTTGGCTTTAGGCTTTGTGATGAGACTGTGGCCACAGCACTGGGGATGTTGGGAAACACCTAGATGATTCTATAGATAGTTCTGAAAAGTGCAAGATTGGTGTGATTTTTTTTTTTTTTTTGACATTTTTATCTGTTTAAAAATACTGTCCCACTTCTACACCCCTCTGGGTTCTGTAAAGGAAATAGAAAGGTGCAGAGTTGCAGTCACCTGTGTGAATGGCCCAGAGCTTGCCGTACCAGAGCATGGTTGTCATCTATGCATGTGTGTGTGCACACTGTGCACAAGTGCAAATGTGTGTGTGTACACACGGCACCTGCTTTAAGCGTTTACTCCATTTTTTTTTTTTTTTTTTTTTTTTGTATGTTGCTCATGCAAAAGGTCCACTTTTGTATGTGTATGTGCGTGCACTTTTTTTTTTAAACCATACTGGCTCTTTCCCTCCCAAATCCATTTTTTTTCAAAGAGAAAAAACGTTTTAAAACACAACAGTCAGGATGACAGTGGTACATACACTGCTCATTGCCATCCTTAAATTGGTCACCCAGAACACAAGACATAATGCGTTTAATTGTCCGAACAGTACCAGTGCAAACCTTTCTCTTTTTTAAAAAAAAAATTAATTGGTACATTTTAGATACCCATAAAGATAATATTTATCCTAGGGTATTTATTTGCACTTGTACATGATATATCTTCTGTTTTCCCTATTTTTTTTCCTCTCCAACTTTTCTTTCTCTCCTTTACTTATAAAAGCTTTTTAATCCTTTTTTCCTTTTTTTTTTTCCCTTCTCTTCCTTTCCTCCACCTCTCTCCCTAGTTCTTTCCATTTGATATTTTCTTCCTGTTTCACAATATGTGTTGTACATTTTGGTCCTTATTTACCCTTTCAGTTTTTCACACCTCAGGTACCACATGATATTTAAATATGTATGTATGATTTACTTCCCTCAAGGGGATGGTCTCAAAGTGCACTTTTGAATTGCGGTGTGGTGCACACTGTCTCAACATGCAGCCCTTTTGTCATACCCTGCTGTCCGGTGCCGCGTCTGTCCCGCAGAATGAGGCACACGAACACTTTGTCTCTGCAGGCTCCTTTATTGACTGGGCTACAACCTCAATACACGTCTGTCCTTGACGGCTTCCTACGTGTTGTGCGTCGGGCACTTCCTATACTTGGGCTTATATAGCTAATGTTATCCAATTATGGGATTACACGTGGGGACAGGCGATTGGGCGGCAACAAGGAAGCAATCAATCATTACCATATATGGCGGGGACAGTAAGCCGAGCAAGAACCAGGAAGCAGGATGTGTGCGCCATCTTGGGCACACGATGGGCGGGGGAGCAGCGAGGCGGTAGGCGGACGCCATCTTGTGGCTATATTCTCATGGGTAATACGGCAGGCTCCCAACACCCTGCCATATTGATGTCCCTTGTCTTTTCATTGTAACTGTGGATTTATTTCCTCTCAGCTCCTGAAGTTCCTGCTCAGATCTCTCAGGATTTGGACGTTCACTTGGGAGCCCTCTTCACCCAGATGCTGGAGACTGGGACAACAGACGACTTGGCACTGGTGATGCGGTGTGTGCTCCAGGGCCTGGATGTTGGCTGTGCCTGGCGGGCAGACCTGCAGGTGGGTAGCTGCTTTTCCCTATGTGGTGGCCCAAGGCAGCATGTGCTATAGAAAGAATGCTATTTTGGGATTCTGTGTCATTCCTCAAACTAAAATTCACACCAAAAGGTAGAGGCAAGGTGGAAGCTGTGAAAGGAGCCTGGCTGGGTATAGTCTGGAGCAGGATTTATAAATGTATCTTCTTATTACATGGCATACTAAGTCTTCCATAGTCACAATATTGACCCCCCACAAAAGTTGAATCCTGCTCATCTAGCACACTTTGAAAACTTGTATTGAACTTCGTTGCACAGCTACAGGCCAGCGTTTGAGTACCATTGGGGTGCACAAGCCCATATAGTTTCCGTGTAGTTCCTGAAAAAGCCTGTGTGGCCTTACTATGAGGATTGCCTGCAGCCACTGACTGTAGTTCATGTCCTTTCTGCCCTATGAGTGTCTTTTTTTTTTTTTTTTTTTTTGGTGCTGGGGATTGACCTTGCGTTTGCCAAGCCAGCACTTAGGCCACTGAGCTAAACCCCTGACCCTGTGAATGTCTTTTAAAAATTATTTTTGATTCACATTTTCATTACATAGTTCATGCTGGTCTTGAACTCACTGTGTATCCCAGGCTGGCCTTGAGCTCACAGCAATGCTCCTGCCTCAACTTCTTATGTGCTGGGATTATAGCTATGTGCCTTCATGACTGGCATGCGTGTCTTTAATGAGTGTCACTGATGATAGCATGGGGCTGGCTATGATTTGGATGGAAAGAGCAAGAGAGGGTGGTTGCTCAGAGTGGAACCAGGTGTTTGTTTATGGGGTGCTTAGTACAAACCCATTCTTCCCTCTGGTTTAACGTCATTACCTGCAATCATAACACCTCATCCAGGGTCTTGTTCCAACCCTTCGTTTTGTCTGTGAGCACATGTAGTTCTTGCTCAGTGAAGCAAGAAGCTTCATTGCCATGGAAGCTGATGGCATCCTCTGCAGGGCGTCTTCGCAAAATAGAGTGGGTGATGAGATTCCTTGTGGGGTATACTGAGCCGTTGTGAGGCACTCTTCAAAGCCTTGCTATCAAGAGCGTGGTTCTTCCTTGCCTCCCAGATTGTATGCTGATGTGATGATGTCTCTTGCTTTGAGGACTCAGCCTTGAGTGGCCTTGTCCCTATCCCCAAGATCAGGGCTCCAGGGCTCTGCTCTTTGGCCAGCACCAGTGAGTGGACCATCTCTGGAATTATCCTAAAGAGAGCTGCCTACTTGCACTAAATTTCCTGTTTTGTTTCAGGCTGTTTTGTCTGCTGTTAGGTTGCTCAAGCTGCTATTGAGTTGCCCACTCAGTGGAGAGAAAGCAAGTTTGTTGTGGCGTGCATGCCCACAGATTGTCACAGCTCTGACGGTGAGTGGCCTCTGGAGACACACCCTCCAGCTCATCCCCTCTTTTCTTCTATAAAGACAAAGGCTGGCTTTTTGGGTTCTGCTGTTCTCCCATGTAGGGCAGAGCATTTCTGGGACTACTACCTAGAGGTGGCTGCCAGCAGGATGCCCAGATTGTGTCCTCTCTGCATACACTGGTGTCAGCTGCCAGCCGTGGCATGGAGATGGTACAAAGGAATGTTGCAGTGCTAGGAAGCCTTAGACAGAGACTGGTAAGAGAAACAAGGTGACAAGTGAGACTGCCTCAGAAGCTGTATAATTGAAGGAGTAAGGAAAGATCTTGAGGCTTTGTGTCTCCAGAAAATATTATAGTCAGCTTGATGCATTCCGTTATTCAGAGGGGTATGTGTGTGTGTAAGGCCTGTGGTACATAAGGAGAGAACACACTATAGAATGAAATAGTAATATTGTAGGTAGGTTACTGTTGCTATCCTGTGCATGTGTTAAATTTTATATTGAGTAACTACTTGATTTTGTTTCACTGTAACATAAATGTGCTTGAGCTTAGGCTGGTCTCTGGTGAGCTTGATCCAAGCGTTTTTACAATGGGTGTGAAGGAGCACTGTCTACTTTACCATTGTTCCCAGCCAGGTTCTAGTTGTCTGTTGATGAGAGAATTGCACTGGATCATTATGTGTGGACTTCATACTCTGGATTTCCAATTTTTTTCTTGTGTCATTTTCCTGAGAAAATGGCTGAAGTAGTCTTTATGACCATCTGAAGGAGCTGCTGAGTTGGGTGGGGCCGTGCTGGTGTCCAAGACTCATATTTGGTCACAGTGGTGATGGCACATGGGAGGCCATGCTGCTGTACATCAAGCTAAACTCTGATTGGTGCTCCTCACAGGTGTGGCAAATAGTCAGCTCAGCCAGAACACCCAGTAGGGAGGTGGGGTTGTCAGACTTTAGAGCCCAAAAGGCTCACTAGATGTGCTTAGGGTTAGAAGGAGTCCTAAGTGCCTTCTGCAAGGTAACCTAGGTAGCACTTTGAGCTATCTTTTTTTCTTGAGTTTGTTATTTATGTATTCTAGAATAGTAATTATCTTTAACTACATCTGATTTATAAGAAACTTAACCAGTGATGTGATGCTTAGACACGTGAGACTGATGATCTTTTTTTTGGAAAATACTATTATGTACATCTGATACACAGTTTTCTTATGAGAAAATGGATGTGTCAGGTTCTTAATAGAAAATTACTTCTCTTCATGAACGATGGAGCCAACAAAAAAATATGACTAAAGTGGCCAAGTCCACAGTGGGGTTTGGATGCTGGTCACCCTATGCTTGGGCCACAGCAATTTATTTGGGGCAAGGACAGCCTTATCTCTGACACCCTGTGCTCAGTATTATGCTCTCTCTGAGAATCCTCTTCATTCTCTTTCTTTGCCCACATTGCCTATAGCTGCAGAGCCGAGAGGCTTGTGGGGAGCAGCCTGTGGCCCTTGCACGGGTCATACCTATTCTTGATGTCCTGGCTGCTCTGTTGCGGCAGGGGGAGGATGCCATCAGCAACCCCCACCACGTCACCCTGGCCTTCAGCATTCTGCTTACCGTCCCCCTGGACCACCTGAGGCCACCAGACTATAGGAGTGTCTTCTCAAGGTTGCACAACACACTCTTCTCCATACTGCAGTGTCATCCCAAGGTGAGAGAAAGGAACTTCCGGGGACCTCAGCCTTCAGAATAGCAGTGCAGTGCTTTACTGTTGGAGAAAAATAAAAATAGTGACTTGTTAAGCGGATTTTTTTTGTTTCAGTAATTTTTAGAACCAAAGTGGTTTCTCAAGTACAAAATGCTTGACCATTTATAAGATTTTTTCAAATGAGTTTGATACAAATGGTGTTTCTGTACTAACACCTTTTTTTATTTTGAAGAGAATAAAACCAAAATAAATAAAACAGAGATAAAACAAAACAATGAATATGATATAAGACTTCAAAACAATATAAAAAGAAACCTTCAGTGGCTACCATGATGCCTCTTGCTAGTTTCAAAATAACTTCCCATCCCATTATGCACAATAAAATCAGACAAAACAATAAAACCAATCAAAACGAAACAGTAAAAGCAATACAGAACTTCAAAACAAAATAACAGGAATACAACAGTAGCTGCCATAATGTATCCTGTTATCTTCAGAGTAGCTGTTTATACCATCAGATGTCATAAAATCAAAAAAAATAGAATAGTCAACCAAAACAAAACAATGTGATATAAGACTTCAAAACAAGGTAAAAGGAAATCAATAATGGTTACCATAATGCCTTTTGTTACTGTTAAAATAACTGTCCATACCATCAGGCATAATAAAATCAAACAAAACAGAACAGAGTAAAGCCAATCAAAACAATGAAAGCAATACAGGACTTCAAAGCAAGACAATAGGAATACAAGTGTCTACCATAATGCATCTTGTTATCTTTAGAGTAGCTGCTTATACCATCAGACAAAATAAAATCAAACAATAACTGCGTGTATATTTAAGTGTATAAGATAGAAAATGATATCACAGAGTTTTATTGGATCATTGAACAGAACTGTTTGCAGTATCATTGTTGGAATGTCCACTCTACAAGCTTTAATTTTGTGACTTGAACAATTATTTCTAAGATGGCAATATGTAATCCATTAACTAATGATTTCCTACTGTTCATTTTTTTCTTCTGTAAACCTGTATAACTTGTACCCTTTCACTGTTTCTTTTTTTTTTCTTTTCTCCTTAAATAAAAAAAAAATCAAACAAAAAAATCAAAAAAGAATAAAATCAATAAAAAGAAAACAAGTAAAGCAATACAGGATTTCGAACAAGATAATAGGTAATCAATTATGGCTACTATAATACATTTTGTTATTTTCGAAGTAGCTGTCCATGCCCTCAAATATGAGAAAATCAAACAAAATAAAATAAGCTAAACAACAATGAAAACAATGCAGGGTTTCAAAACAGGATATAGAGTAACAATGGCCACTGCCTCCCCCAACCTCCCCCCCTTTCATCTTCATGACATCTGTTGTGCATTTTGGATCCCACTAACCCTAGTTTTTTATACTAGGGAGACAACATGATGTTCGCCCATGTGACTGAACCATTTCACCCATGAGCATGATCTCAAGTTGTTATCTTATCTACCTACAAGAACTTTGAGGTTATCTTTCTTTATAGTTGAGTAGCTTTCCATTATATAGAAATGCCATATCTTATCCATTCTGCAGTTGATATACCCTGCAAAATTGTCTTTCAAAATTAATGGAGAAACAAGATACTTCCATGACAAAGAACAACTGAAGGAATTCATGACCACCAAAGCAAACCTACAAAGAATATTGAAGGACATTCTAGAAAGAGAGAAAAAGACCACAGTTCCAGAAACAGTGGCAGGAAAGGGTCACCGAGCAGGGCCGACAACTGAATGGAGGGGAAAAGTAGGCAGCCACTGGTAGGAAAGTAGCATAGCAGAGAAGAGCCAGTGCATGTTGGCCATAACCGTTAATGAGATGGCCTCAGTTCACCAATAAAAAGAAACAGGCAGAGTGGATCAGAAGACGAGATCCATCAGTATGCTTTATTCAAGAAACATTTTAACTCGAAAGGAAATTCTTAGACTGAAAGTTAAAGGAGAGAAAACAATGCTCTGTGTAACAGGAAATCAGGAAAAAAGTAGGGGTAGCTTGTGTACCAATGCTTAAAGAGGTCTGTTATGCAGACAGCAGCATTAGATCCAAGTTGACACAAACATCTGCTAGCTTCTCAGGCATGCCTGGGGGACAGATGAGGTGGCTGGCACTGTTAGATGCCAACGAGGGTGATTAGCAGCTAGTGCTATGCCGAGCATGTCATGTGTTTTACTTGGGTTTCATGATGACCTTTTGTTATTCTCAGTTTGCAGATGAGAAAACTGAGGCAAATGTACACAAAACCTAGATGGTTTATCCAAGTCTCATAAGAAATCATGAGGAAATCTGGCCCCAGATTTTCATTAATACTGAAGCAAAATAGAGGGGATTAGGGGAATGTGTGATGAATCACTATAATAATTGTTATAAAAATAACCTCTCTAAACATGCTGCAGAAAGTCAGTAAATTGACATGAAGGATATGGTATGATGCTATCAAGAATTGTTTTGGATTAGTTATACCAAAGAGAACAGTCCCAGCACTTATTTTTTTAAATTTTTTTGTCTTTTTTGAGATGGAGTCTTGCTATGCAGTTCAGGCTGGCCTTGAGCTCACTTTGTAGCCCAGGCTGGCTACACCTCACAACGATCCTCCCACCTCAGCCTCCCGAGTGCTGCAGTCCCAGTACTTGCTGTGATGTAACTGTGGTAGAGGGCTTGCCTAGCATGTATGACTTTGATCTCCAGCACTACAGAGAGGGAAGGAGAAACTAACATTTGACTGTTCATTTTGGGAGTTAGAGCAGCACTAGACCGTAGGATATGCAGTGGTATCTGCATTGTCCAGCACAGTGACCGTATGGCCACTTGAGGTGTGGCCAGGAGGACTACATTTTTTTTTTTTTTTGTCTTCTAGACAGGGTTTCACTGTGCAGTTCAGACGGCCTTGAACTCACAGTGATCTGCCTGTCTAGCCCCCTGAGTGCTAGGATTATAAGCATGTGCCAGTATACCTGACCTTGAAGTTTTAACTAGTTTAAATGGAAATTGGACAGCTCAGTTGGACAATGTGTGATTGCAACCTAACAAGGGAATTGAATGTTAAAGAAGCATGTTTTCTCATTTTAGTCTCATTTTTAAAAACAAAGTCCTAAGCAAAATTTTTCAGCAGTATTGAGAAATGATGTTCCCGTTTGAAATGAATTTGTTTAGTAATTTCTCTCTTTTTTTTTTTGTCTTTTTCGTTTTTTATCGATACCAGAGATCGAACTCACGATTGCCTAATGGAAGGCAGGCGCTTATGCTGCTGAGCTAAATCCCCAGCCCCTGTTTAGTAATTTCTCTTACCAGATCTGCTTGCCTGAGTTGGTTACAGTCATTGCTTTATGACCTATTTCTGTGTACTTTTAGGAGAATTAGAACCAGCTTAGAGGAAAGCACAGATTCAACTTGTCCTAAAGCAGGACTGCCCCACAGGTTCTGGAAATTGTACCATGTGGAACCCCTAGTCCAGTGGTGGTGAACCCTTGGCATGTGTACTGCAACAGACTCTTCTTATCATTGCAAGCTCTGAAAGGTTCATCATCACTGCCCTAGCTCAGATTTTTAAAGCAAGTGGGTAAACCTGAACATTGCTTACACACTTCGATGTTTTTTTATCTGTTACTTTCAGGTGATGCTGAAGGCCATCCCGTCTTTCCTGAACTGTTTCAACAGACTGGTGTTTTCAGTGATCCATGAAGGGCGCCAGAAAGACAAAGGTAAGGCAGAGTTACAGTATTAGATACATGATTTTGAATTTATAGATCATGCAGTGTCAGGTTCACAGAAAATAAAGCTCCTCAGCTGAGTTTACATAAGGGAAATGTTCACATCATCAAATGAATGCTGATGATCGTTTTTAGAAATATTTTAAGCTGTCATATTTTACTATATCTGAAACAGTGACTGCATCTGACATCTCTGATTTAAACCTTTTCTGGAAAAAAAACCCCTAAGATTTAGAAAGTTTTTGTTGAACACAGCATATATAAGGATGACTATACCCATATTCTTACCTTTAAGGAGTTTATGAATTAGTGGGGAACAAAAGGAAGAGGTGTAACAGAGCTTTCTCATTTTACAGAGGATAAGACTCTGTACCTTGTTATTAGCAAGGTTATGATATTGGAGGGGTTGTATTTGTTTACCACACACATAAAAATTCCCATTTGGCAGAAGCAGACAATGTGTATACAAAGTATTACTCTGATTTGAAGTGTTGATTCTTGCTGTGTTGTTTTTTAATATTCTCATTCTTTGAACATATTGTATGAAATGAAACTTTTCCACTGCTCAGTTTTGTAATCCTACCACACATGTGCCAATCATGAGGACCAGGTGACTGTGGGATGCACTGGACTCATAGCAGAAGTTATGAGTTGACTTGAAGTGTGTCAGGAGAGATCTCTGACAGTAGTCAGCATGACTGGGAATATATGAGTCAACCTCCACTTCTGCCTGTCCTGTGCTTTCTGCTGTGGGATTGGCAAGATTCCTTTAACCAGTCATCTTGGCAAAAGCAAGGAGAGGCCTGTGAGCATGGATTGCAGTTCTCCAGTTACTCTAGATGGTTGTGGACCAGGCAGTAGTACAGTGATGTGTCACCTTCTCCCACTCACGGTGAGAACGTGTGTTGTTGAATCAGTACTCTCAGCACGCGTTGACTCAGCCTGTGTTGACTCAGACATCTGGGGACTTATTTCCCAGCATCTGTTGAGGATTAGGGCTGGGAAATAAGTCCCTTCTCTTGGACCAGCCTCAGCCTTATCCTTGTTGAAGCCTTTGATCTCACCTGAGAACCCTAAGGTCATGGTTCTCACAGACATACTGGCTTGGACAGGAAGTGGACAGGCTGAGCAGTGCAAGGTGGCCTGGCTATGTGCTGCCTCAGACTTGTCATTTGTGACCTGTCATGAGGCCACACAAGGACACATGCCCCATTCTCTCTGTGTTGTGCTTTTTTGATCTGCCTGGTCATTCCGTCTGCCAATATGGTACTTTGACAGACTCAACCCAGAGGACTTTTAACTGTTTTTTTTTTTTTTATTTTTCTTTTTTAATTTTAAAACTTTTTCCCTTTTTGTTGACATCTAATGCTCTTTAATGATGATACGTGAAGCCAGTGACTATAGCAGCTAGTGAACAGAGTGTATGTTGAGCAGCCTGAGAAGAGAAGGAACGTTATGCCTTAGACGAGGAAGTGTACTCCTTCATGGCAGGGAGTGGCTTCAAGATGCCTCGCAGGTGTTAACCACTTGCACAGTGTCATAGAGATTTCTCTGATAGGACAACGACATCCATAAAGATTGTACTTATCAAAGGTCTACTAAAAATATACATTTCCCAAATGTCATCATATTTATTAAAGTATAGCCTATTGTATAACAAGCGATACCTGTTTAGGGTATACAGTTTAATGATGTCTGACAACTAAGAGCACATGTCAAAACACAGTCACAGCACAGGACATTTATTTCTGTCACAAGGTCCCCTGGCCTCTTTGCAGTGTGTTCCCTCCTTGGGCCCAACCCCAGGCAGCTCTCATCTTTTCATCACTGAGTTTGCTTGTGTCTTCTAGACTAACAAAAAGTTACTTGTGGCATCATCCTATGCTGAGTGAAGGAGGGAAGACACTGGCCTGGGCAGGAGTCCCCCAGCTCTCCTACCTGAGGCTAGACTCTCCAGACTCCTTGAAGGCTCCTGCAAATCCTTTCAGAAATTTTCCAAGACACAGACATAATTTGGGTGTCCTAAATGATGTCAACAAACCATTGCTAGCCAGATGTGGTGGACTCTTGAAATCCCAGCACTTGTGAGGCTGATGCAGGTGCATTGCTGTGAGTTCAAGGTCACCTTGAACTATACAATGAGACCTAGTCTCAAAAAACCAAACCATTCTTTATCTTTTGAGTAATTTTCCATTTTAACCCACCTTATAGAAATCCATCCATCCCTTTCTCTCTCTCTCTTTCTTTCTTTTTTAGAAAACTATCCCTAAAAAGATAACAGGGCTTGCTTAGCATGTACCATATTCAGTCCTTAGCACTGTGAGACCAAGCAGCAGCAACTAAAAACCCAGTGGCATTCCTAGACTTTTTAATCCTGAAAATTGTGTTTTTTCTACTTGGACCCCTAAAAATCTTACTGACTTTTGAATATTTTAAGTGTTCTTCCCTTTTCTTTGTAGGCAGATATTTTGACAAGATGTTTTTCTCGTACTCTGTCTGCAAGGCAAGCCAATTAAGGGTCTAGGAAAGTGGAAGACTTAAGTATCTATTTACATTAAAGGTGCAAGATGAGAAGGACACTGCAGCACTTGTGAGCTAACCAGTTGGAGACATTTGCCTTCTGCAGGGAGCACAGACGATCTGGTGGTGGTCCTCGAGTGTGCACGCCTGGTGGAGAGGATGTACAGCCACATCGCCGCACGAGCTGAAGAATTTGCTGTGTTTTCTCCCTTAATGGTAGCCCATTACGTAACAAAGGCACAGAAGGTACAATCCAGGGTTTTCTTTAGGGCTTTGAGCATGGTTTTGCATCAAAATGGTGAATTGCCTCAGACCTGTAGCCCTCACTCTTGTGCGTGGTGGAGTGTGTGAGCAGCATCCTATGGGGCAGTGGTCAGGACTAAGGAGCCCATGTGAAGGCTCAGCAGAGCCCCACAAATGAGGGCTCAGAACTTTAGTTCTCTATGGCTCCAAAACTGATGCCTTTCCAGAATAATCTGATGGGCAGGTGATATGTCATTCAGGACCAAGACCAAGAAGTCTCCTAGACCAGGCTAGAGGAGTCGCAGAAGGGACCTGGGTCTCAGTCTAGGTCCCCTTGTCAGCAGGAATATATGAATCTATTATTATTTTATTTCTTTTGAGACAGGGTTTCACTATGCAGTTTGGGCTGGCCTTGAACTAATTTTATAGCCCTGGCTGACCTCGAACTTGAAACAATCCCCCTGCCTCAGTCTCCTGAGTCCTGGGATTAGGGCGTGCACCACCATGCCCAGCTAGATCTATTGTTCTTGAGACTCAGTGGCTCTCAGACACTCAAAGCAGGAGGCAAGTGGAGATGCAGGCGACTTTTTATTTTTTTTTTATTTTTTAAATATTTATTTATTTAAAGAGAAAGAAACGCAAAAAAAAAAAAAAAAAAATACATGGAGGAAAAAAAGAGTAGAAATAATACAGAATTACAGAAAAATAAACGGTAAGAAATCACCAGTTGATAAGTTACATATTGTTATCTTAGAAATAGTTTTTCAGGTTACAAAATTAAAGTATGTAAAGTGACATTCAAATAGTGACACTGCCAACAGTTCTGCTCAATGATCTAACAAAAACTTAGTAATATGGTTATCAGTCCTACACACTTGTTTCTTATCTTAAAGAGAGTAAGATTAAACATATCAAAACAGAACAAAACAGTTTAAAAAGAAACAATTTAAAGAAATACTGACTTCAAAGCAAGTCCACTGGAGATTTTCACTGTTTATCTAATTGTCTCTAGTTTTCTTCCAAATAGTTGTCCCTATCTTTACACACATTAAATACATACTGCATATTATAGAACTAATCAAATCATTACAGGATGATGAAGGCTTTTTAGATCTTCAAGATCTGATATTGGGGAAGACAATAATGACTACCATAGTGTCTCTCATTCTCTTTGTAGTAGCTGTCCTTATCTTTACATATGCTGAAACTGAACTTAAGAGACTAGACTAGTATCACTCTGAACAGTGAATAATAGTATTGCTACATTTTATATCATAATGCTACAGAATTAACATTGGGTTTCTTAGTGTCTCTTCAGATTATCTGTTCATTATATCTTGCATTATATAATCTGTTCCCGTAAACAGTTTTAAAAATTCTTCCCATGTGTGAATTTCTATATGTATATCTATATTCTCTGTATTATTATTATTAACAAATCATAACAAGACAGCAAAACAAATTCCTAGAAAAACATGCAATGAAAAAGACACAAAGGATCACAATATTAGGTGATCCTCCGTAGTTACTATGCTTTCTCTTGTTATTTTCAATAGACTTGTCCACATCATCAGGCTTAATATAGTTAGGCATAGTATTACATAATTAGTTTTATAAAAATACAATTTTGAAGACATTGTAGGACTTGAGAGCTGTTAATAATCAAAACCGGTATGGATATCTTTTACATCTTGTCATCTTCAGAGTAGTTGCCTCTACTTTTAGAGTTGATACTATCAAGCATATCAAATTCAAATAAAATCAGCCAAGGCAAAACCATGGTCTAATAAATCAGATTCAAATAAGATCAGTCATAGTAAGACAATGTAAGTAAATCAGGGTTTCAGTTGAAATTAAGGATAGTTACCATGGTATAACCTGCTATTTTTGGGTCAGATGTCTGTGCCCTCATCTGATATGAGTGGACAGACTGGAACAAAATAAATTCAAACTAAACAGAGCGATAAGACTGCTGTGACTTTTAAATCCTGATACACTGTTAACAATGACCTCTACCTTTTTTAAATAGTGTATCAAAGCTATCTATACTAAAGATTATAGCTTACTGTCTCTGCCTCATGTCTGCTACTCCACTTTACTGCTATAATTTGTCCACCTTACTCCCTCATTCCACTGTCTGCCCTGTTCATTGAGGCCTGTCTGCCACTGTTGCTGGAATCCTGGTATCCCTTCCCCCCTCTCTCTGGAATGTCTTTAAGCACTTTCTGTAGGGTTGGGTTGGTGGCCATGAACTCCCACAGTTCCTCCTTGTCTTGGAAACATCTTATTTCTCCATTAATTTTGAGAGAGAGTTTGTCTAGGTATATCAGTCTTGGTTGCAAATTATTTTCTTTCAGGGCTTGGAATATTTCCCTCCAAGCCCTTCTCGATTTGAGAGTTTGTGTTGATAAGTCTGTTGTTATTTTGATAATTTTCCTGTTGTAGGTTATCTGCTACTTTTACCTGGCTGCTTTTAGTATTCCGTTCTTTTAGTGGATTTCTGAAATTTTGATTATTATATGTCTGGGTGTAGATCTGTTTTGGTTGTAGGTGGCTGGAGTTCTGTATGCCTCATTTATCTGGATATCATTTCTTTTTCCTATGCTTGGGAAGTTTTCCTTTAATATATCTGTGAATATTTTTTGTATTTCATTTTTGGTTACTACTGCTTCCTCTCTCACGAGCTTTATGCTTAAGTTATGTATCCTTCTGTCATCTTCTAGCTTTTGAATTGTTTCTTTCTGGTTCCTTGTTATTTTTAAGAGTTCTTTTTTTCACGATCATATATCATAAATCTCTCTTCAAATTTCAAAAGGCTAACTTTAGTTTCTGTCAAGGCATTTTGTCAGTTTTCAATAGAGTTTTTAGTTTCCTGGTAATCTCTGGATCTGTTTCATGTATTCTAGATTATGTTTAAATTCTTCATCAGAGGTTTCTCTTTCTTTTCTGATTTCCTCCGTGCTTCCATCTGTGTTCTCTTGGGCGGGGCTTATCATTTCTTTAATTAATCTCTTTATATCTTGCCTCACTTGGATCAGAAGTACAGTTTTAAATTTGTCTGTGAGGTCATGAAAGTATTTATTTCAGCTGATGCTATGTCTAGTATTGGATGGTTACTGTGCTGGTTCTCTTCTGTGTTTATTTCTCCTGGACTTATTTTCCCAGGTTTGGCAGCTGGAGATTTTTTTTTTTTATTTCTATCTCTTGTCATGTTTCTGGTTTCTTTCAGACTGGTGTGTCCTGGGGGTCTCTGGCCCTCTCCATATTGCTTAGGGTCTTTCCAAAGCATGCTGACTGGAGTTTTTGCTGCCCTCTCCAATTTGCTGTTATCTGAGGAAGGCAGGGATGCAGGGATGGTGCAGGCTAGCCTCCAACCTCTGTGCCAGTCAATCTGCAAGTTAGGCTGTACCTTGTGGACGTCACAGAGTCACGACTATTTTGTATCTGCTTATTGGGTCCCAGCCAGAGGCGTGGGTCAGCCCCAGCAGACCCTGGCAGTTATCTCTGTGCCAGAAGCAGCTGACTGATGTCACCGCAGCACAGGGCTCTGCCCAAATCCCAGCTGTCCTCTACCAGACCTCTCTGTGCCAGAAGCAACTATCTGATGTCACTGTGGCGCCGGGGTCTGCCCAATTCCAAGATGTCCTCCACCAGTCCTCTCTGTGTTGCTGATGCTGTTGTGGTGGGGGGCTCTGCCCAATTCCAAGATGTCCTCCAGCCAGACAGCAGCCCTGGGATCCAGTCCCTAGTACTCACCAGGACTCAGTGCAGATCTTCCTCTTGGGTCCACTGCTCACTGCACTGCTTGTCTTTACTGCGTTCCCAGCACAGTGCGGATCAGTCAGAAAACTGCATGGTGTCTGGCTTCGGAGCTCCGGAGCTTCTCTCCTCCAGTGCAGCCAGGTGGCTTTGGCTGCTTCACAGGGGTCCCAGGTCTCAATTTCTAGCAGTCGCCAAGAGCCAAAGCAGCTTTTCTCCTTGGATCCACTGCTCACTGTGTTGGGTTAAGGGTGCAGGATTCTCAGACTCCCGTTATCAGCAGCTGCAGTCTCAGCACAACCTTAAATCCTCCCAATGCACCTAGTACAGCGCAGAATGGGGCTCAGTGAGTACATCGGGCTTCAGCTCTCCACCCGGCTTCAGCTTTCCACCTGCGCTTTTCCTTCTTCCTAGTTTTAGTTTTCCCATCGGTTACCACCTTGGTTAATAAGAATCATTATCCATGCGTCTGGCCCTCTCCATGTGGTCATATTCTAGCATCTAATCTGATTTCTCTGCAGAGACTCTGCACCCAGCCCCCTAGCAAGCTGCCATTTTTCTCTGAAATCCCAGGTGACTTGTTAGTGTTAGACTTTGTACAGATTACTCTAGCTTTTTATGTTAAAGATCTGGAATATAAATTCATCATGTAAGTTATTTTACTTCGGGATATCCATATCTAGTTTCAAAATTTTATAAGCAGTTGATGCTGCTACAGGCTCAAAATTTGGGCTGTATGAACCTTGACTATGTTTAATATGACATCAGTATGGAAGACAGAGTGTTCAGAGAGTAGCCATGGGTAGACTGGATGTTTGCATGTGTCTGTTGACATTGCTGTCCTCTCTGTCTGTGAAAGAGCCTTTCTCCTGTTACAATCCTGGTAGGCACAGTGGTGAGCCCTGGTGAGCCTGTCTGGGTAGAGGTATTAGCCTTACTTCCTCAGAACACCTCCATCCTGTTTTAGGCTAGATTATAACTGCTTACTACTTTTCCATTTCACTGGCCCTGCTGACTTTGGCCAGTGGAGTCGCTTGTTTTTTGGGTGAGTGATTGGCCATTCAGGGAATAGCCTGGATGTCTGAATACACAGCAGGTTATCAACAGCCACAGTGGTGAGAGGCATGGAGCACAAGACCCTTCAGGGGTCCTTCAGGTTGTCCTTTGAATGACGTGTGGCCTTGGAGTTTGGCTTCATTGCAGTTGATTAGCATTTTTGTAGAATTTTTATCTATTTCAGTTTTTTGAGACAAGGTTCACTTTGTAGGGCAGACTGATTTGAACTCACTATGTAGCACATGCTGCTCAGAGAGATCCTCCTGCCTCTGCTTCCCAAGTGCTGGGATTACAGGCATCTGCCACCAGTCCCAGCTGCATTTTTATAGAATCATGACATTTCCTTAGCATTTGATTCATTACTATGGAAGCATTTGATAAAAGAAAAGCTGGCATTATTTTCTTACTGTAGAAAGAAATAGCAGTATTACTTCACTAAGGGTCAAAAAGCAAAGCAATAATTGCAACCTTTAAGTCACTGTTATTCCAGGATTTACTTTACGAAAAGTCAGTTGCCTCACCTCACTTATGCTTATCTTTTACATTTTTATTTTTAATCTTGAAAGCCAAAGGCCTTGAAAATTATCTAAGGCTATATAGCATCCCAGAATTTATTGGTAACAGTTTTGTCTTTTGTTTTTTAATTCAGTAATGAAGAAAATACTTGATATGCATTAGAAAGTTCTACTGAGAGTCATAAATCTTTCCAGACCAGCATGTTCAGGTTTAATTAAATGCTAGATAGTGGGAGCTGCTAAGCAGATTCCGCTTGCACCCTCTGTGATCTGCAGAATGGGCATTAGTGGGAGGTGATCCCAGCTGAAGCCTGTGGACCCCTCCACAGGTGATGAATCCCAGTGGAAATGTGTGAGTCTTCTCTTGGACTCTCTAGCAATAACTTTAGGGTTTATTGCTACTTTAGGGAAGGTTGTTTATCCTGGTTCTCTGTCCAAGGAGATTTTAAGTTGCGTAGAGGGGTTTTCAGTCATTGGCCAGTGATAGTTGTGTTGTGGGAATTAACTTTTTCTTGTCTTAGATATAAGCACCTGAAACCCAGAGATTTGGAGTAGTCTATTGTCCTCATGCTGCTGGCCTGTGCAAAGCATGCCACTCAGTCTGCCCCAGTTTGTTCTCACAGGGTTCTGCCTTCTTTCCCAGGTGACCTTGTACCCAGCTGTGAAAGACCTGCTGCAGGAAGGCATTTACCTCGTCCTGGACCTATGCACTGAGCCTGACATTCAGTTCCTGCGGGCCTCACTGCAGCCTGGAGCTAGAGACGTCTTCAAGGAGCTGCACAATGACTACCTCAAGTACCACAAGGCTAAGCAGGAAGGAGAGAGAAGATACACTGCCTAATTGGACTGCAGGAGCACCGCCAGTGAGGAGCTGCACAGTGTCTACCCAGCACGCCACAAGGCTGAGCAGGCCGAGAGGGAAGAGTCGCGTAGCCGGGCTGTAGAAGCACCATGGGGCCACTTGGCCAAGGCTTTGGCATTGTGGTCTTAGAGCCTTAGAGGAAGAAGACCTCAGATGCTCTGATACACAGAGCCAGCACATGTGGGAAGCCCTTACTATTTTCTAATGTACCTGCTCACTATTTTCTAATGTCCCTGCTAAGCATATGCTTTACCACTTGAGCATACCCTGGCTCTAGTATATCTTTTTATAAATAATTATGTAATAGAATTCTGCAACTGGACCTTGGAATGAGAATTATTGGTTCTTGTAATTGTGTCCTTTGGAACTCTTAGCCTGAGTCAGAGGGTTGGTGTCCTCCTCTCCTGGCTAGGAACAATGTAGAAGTTGGCATTTTGCTTCTAGTCTATAATTAAACCCTATTGAAATATCTCTGACCTTTAAATTCTCAGTTATCATGGGAGGCATTCTCAGGATGTCACTTTTTTGCCTTTCCTGTGAGATCCTCTGATGGCACTGGAGACAGTTCCCTTTCTCCAGGTCAGTGGATGCTCCGGGCAGGTGGATGCTCCTAGCAGTGGTGCCTATGTACCTGCCTGCTCTTCTGCTTTAGTCTGTGAAGCTTTTGGAATTTTTTTTCTTTTGGTTTAAGAAATAATTTTGATTATTTATTCTTATTACTTGCATAATATATTTTCATTGTAGCAATCTGAGAAAATAAAAGGGAAATATTTCAAAAACTGCTCATGTTGCCTCTTGAAGTATCTTGTTTTAGATCGTTAACTGTGCAGATATGTTGATATACAGGTGTGTGTACACATAATGAACAGAATTGATCAAGATGCATTTTTAAAAGTTATCTCATTTTCCTATGTAATTCAGTACATCAAGAACATCTTTGGGTCAATAAAGACATTTGGAATATATTTTTCATACTGCACAGTAGCCCTCTGAATAGACATAGCCGTTTGATTTAGTAAGTACCCCTGGTTAGACTCTGGGATCTTCCCCACTTCCCTTTTATAGATGGTGCTTGTAGCTAAATTGTTTCTCTAAGATTAATTCTCATGAATAGTATTGTTTGTCAGAAAACTCAATCTGTTTTAATAACAATATAAATACCACCAATTGGTTTCTAGAAAGTGTACTATTTATTTTCCTGCTAGTGAATCAACTTCAACATTATTGATTTTTGTTTGTTTTATTTCCTTGATAGGAGAGAGGCCATTTTGTTCTGAATTTCTTTAATTTTACTGGATGATTATGCATTTTTACATTCACCATTTTATTATGTAAATTATGTAATTGTCTCTCACTTGAGGTATTTGCTTTTTTTATTTACTGCCTTTGTGGATTTTATGATGGAGTTTCTTCATGTTCCTTTTTCAGGCAGTATGAAGACTTTCTTTTATTAGTACATGTTTGCAGTATGTAATGATCACATTTATCATGGGATTTGTACATGTACATAACACATCTTAATTTTTTTTGTTGTTCCCTTCCTCCCTTCCCAATAAGACTTGAAAAACAATTTTTTTTAGTGCTGTAGATCGAACCTAGGGCCTCACACATGCACAGGCTAGGCAAATACTGTACCAAGTTGCACCCAATCCCCATACCTTTTTTTTAAATGATTGGAAAGATCCTTCTTACGCCCCCAGCCTACTTTCCGATTACATGTGGTTGGCACAGACAACATACGATAGATTTTCTGGTACCTAAGGCAAACAGCCCCTGCCTCATGCCACAGTCTGACTTTATTTCTTGCACTGGCTGACTGCAGAGGGAACAGCCCTGCTTTGCCTATAGGAAACTTGTCTTTCTTCATTTCCATGGCATATATAACTGGCCAGTAGAGCTCCAGGAGTCAGGGATGGAGCCAGGTGGGCTAGTGTCCTGCTTTGTGCCCTGTATGGCACTGAATTCGCTATAGGAACATCCCAGGAAGCTGGTGAGGGTTGTCTCTTGTCACCTTAGACATGATGTGTTGGGGTGAGTGGGCAACCTTTCAAGGACATAGACAGTAACAGCAACTAAACCTGATCTGCCTGAGGTAGTACCCCAGTGGAAGGACTGTCCTGGAGGCCCTTGGGCCTAGTGCTTGGTCCCCAAGTTCAGACTGGCCAATATCCCCTCTCCCCTTGGGAATGTGGATGGGAGCTGCCGATACGCAGTTCCTTCGGTGTCCTGTCAGTGGCGCTGTGGGGCTGCAGACAGCTCAGGGCTCTGCAGATGAACTTGGCCTTGGAGGAGGGCCTGGTGGTCTCTGACTGCCCAGTGCAGATTGCTGCTGAGTCCCATTTTGAAAGTGGTCAGCTCCTCACAGTCACTTCTATGTGAACTCAGCCTTTCATAGGAAACAGGCTTTCAAGAGGCGCTGAGAAGAAGTGAAGGGCTCATTCCTGTTCCATTAGAGGAGACCCAGGGTGGAGGGTCAGCCCAGTTAAGACTGGACGTGTGTCTCTAAACTGCTTAGCACCTGACACAGGTGCACTTGCTGCCCCATCACACATCATGAGGCTGAGCATGGCGACAGTTCTGGTCCTTCTGTAGCTTGACAACAAACCAGTAACACATGGGCAAGATCCTCTGGGGTTTACAGAGATCAAAGTACAGCAGTCTCTAGTCAGGCCCCAGCCAGTTTCTCTCCCACAACTTTCCCTCCTGTTGATAGCCTCAACCATTTGCACTTGCCTGTTGCCTTCCTTGTTCCGGGGCCTCCAGGGTGGTTGCTATCCACATGGAGGAGCAGCCCAGCCTTACTGCATGATCACTGCCCCCTGCTCAGTGTTGCTGCTAACCCCATCACTACCATGTCTGGCTGTGTGACAGGTCCCTGGGCATCCCCTCTAGTGCCCTGTCCCTGCCTTCTGTGATTATACTCTCCCTGCCCCTAAAATGTGGGTGTTTTGAATTCTCACCTGACATCTCCCCTCCACCCTTTCTACTCCCTGAGGTCATAGGTCACCTCCGGCAAACTACAGACTTCCACTTTCTGTCCATTGAGTTACCTTGCTATAGGCAAATTGAGAACCTGGAGGGCATAGCCTCATCCTGGTCTCTAAGTGTGGGCCATTTTCCCTCTGTCCAGTGTCCACTCTCCATTACAGCTCTTCCCCCTTTTCTCATTGCTCCTGTGTCCAATATACTGGCCCATGGTCCCTGCAAAGATTCCCTCCTAAAGACAAACTGGCTCCCAGAAACCATTGGCTGACTACCACCATCCATGCCTTCCCAGCTGTTCTGTCCACTGTTGCTCACGGAAAGCACTGTCCAGCTGGCCATGCTGCTCTGCCAGGCCTTCACCTTCACAGTGATGCATCCTTCGATCTCGTCTTGAGAAGGGGCCGTGAGTTCTTTACTAGCAGGTCCCAAGTCAGTGTTTACTCCAGCACAGGGACAGGACAGGACCCATCTGTCTGCCCATAGAGAATCTGTCTGTCTGACCCCATAGAATCAAACATTGCACCAAGTGTTCACTGGGGCCTTCCAAAGGGCACTGGATGGTGTAGGTCAGCATGTGAAGGCTGCAGGTCCTTTGGCTGCAAGAACCCTGGAACTGCAATGCTGTCTCACCAGGAGTGGGCACAGCAGCGTCTCACTCCACTTTCTGTTCCTCAGCCACAGACCTCTCTTTTCCTTTTTAACAGTGAACCACCTTTATAAATTCTGACCTAGAGCACCAGGGTTTTGAATAGACATAAGAAGTTTACCATGCTGAAGCAGACAGGATCACTCTGTGTGTCCCTTTGCCCTTGGCTCTGTGGGACCCTCCCTGGCCTCCCTTTTTCTCAGAGTTGGACTAGAAATCTATCAAAAGTTTCACTCTCTCTCCCTGCTTTCACTCCTACCACTACCTTGTTTGCAAGGTGTTTAGGTGTCCAATTTACTATGTATCTGTCTGTCTGTTTTGTGTTCCTTTAGTAGAATATCATGAACTGGGTAATTATTAAGGAACAGAAATTTATTTCTTGCATAAGCACCTGCCTGGCAAGTGTGAGGTCATGGGTTCAATCCCCAGTACCAAAAAATGAAAAAAAAAAACATAAATAAAAAAGACAACCAAAATATGCAGCAAGTCTTCAAGGCTCAGTATGAAGGAATAACAAAAAATATCTCCTTGATAATGTCAGAATATTGATTAAATGTTGAAATCTTAGTATCTTGGATAGTGATGAAACCATAGTATTTGGTGTGTTAAATAGAATATAATAGCTATTAAAATTAGTTTCACCTGTGTTAAATTTTTTAAAATGTAGTTACTGGAAAATATATAATTACATATGTGGCTCACATTAACTTTTTATTGGATGCCGCTCTGATCCTATGTGAGGGGGTTGGGGGAGAAAGAAACATCATAAGGAAACAGTATTGAACCAGAATATAGGACATTCTATGACACTTCAAAAAGTCAATGTCATTAAAAAAAAAGATAAACTGGGCATGTTGGTGCTCTCCTGTAATCCCAGCACTTGGGAGGCTGAGGCAGGAGGATTGTTGCAAGTTCAAGACCAGCCTGGGCCACAAAGTGAGCTCAAGGCCAAGCTGAACTGAACTGCATAGCAAGACTCTGTCTCAAAAAGAAAAAACAAAGAAACAAATGGTGAAGAGACTGCTCTAGGTCAAGTGAGCCATATAACCGGGAACATTTTTGAATCCTCATTAGATCCCAAAACAAAAGTAGCCAGCCTCTTCCCTCCTCACCACCACCAAGTCAAAAGCCACAACAACATCCTTAAGAGCCATTCCTGCCAAAGGCAAGAAGGGCTGGATGGACACAGCGATGCTGTGTGGTCTAGGGGGACAGTGCAGGTGGCTTAAATTGTTTGTCATCTGATGTATGCTTGTGCAGGCTTTGGTTGGAGAGCAGGACGCTGATATTCTCAGAGTTGGGGTTAACAGTGATTGCAGGTGGCTGGCACGATCTTAGGCAGAGCCCAGGACATGGGCGTCAATGTGGAGCCTTACAAAGCAGGGATGTGGGAGGTGGGTTGTCTCTGTGAACACTGAAGTCACTCTTGAAAGTCAAAGGTTGAGTTTGTAACAGAATTAGTCACAATAAAATGCATAATGAAGTTTCAGAAAGATGTTGGGTCTGGCTTAGCCTTTATACTCTGTGGTCTCTGCCTCTGGTTATCACACTTGAGTTGCCATCCCTAGCTGTAGACAACAAGGAGTGTTTTGGCACAAAAAGAAAGGTGTTTGGTTCGGGGATTTAGCTCAGTGGCTCAAGTGCTTGCCTTGTAAACGTGAGGTCGTGAATTTGATCCCTGGCACCAAAAAAAGAAAAAAAAAAAAAAGAGGTTTTTGTGTTCCCAATATAGAATCACAGTGCCCATCATGCCTTGGGGCTGGCTGATACTGCTTCTCTGTCTACTGGATTCACAGGTGTTTCAAAACAGCTAGCTTCCCAGAGCTTTGCAATAGCTTCTGCTGTATTTCACTTCAGAAACATCCGAAAATCAACTGTTAGAGATGAGTTTTATGCCAGCTCTGGGCTTCTCTCCATCTAAATTACATAGTCATTGAGAACAGCTACATCTATAATTTCCAAAGAACAAGAAAAGATCATTTAATAAAACTGATAGGCAGGGTACTCTGTACCTTTTATTATATTTTGCAGGGTATTTCCAATTTGTGTATTATGTGAAGTTTCATTATTTTATTTCTATTGTACTGAGTTGCCAAGAGAGTTCTTACCTCTTTTTCTCCCGTTAGATAAATATCAAATTATAGATATTAAGT